TTGAATAAGGATGTCGATATGATTGAGTTTCAAAAACTTCGCAAGAGACAACATATTCTGAACATCCTCATCACACACAACCTTGAACTTATTATATCCAGGTACGACAAAAAATAACAACACCATCTCAGGGTCCAACCCATCAAACTTCTCGCATATCCCATTGATCAACTCTGCGTATGTCAACGCTTGATGAAGGCGCATGACAGCGTTTGTTTGTCTATAAGAACATAACAGCAAAACAGTAACCTCCATACCTGCACACAAAAAACACCACAAGTAAAATCCCTGACTCGTCGTAAACGGTAACCAAATACATCCGACTAACACAAAAATCCGACACAGTACACACACACCAACACACATTCAAAAAACCCATCGAAACAACACCTCACACAGAAACCCAAAACACACCATTACTGTAACATCCCGAAATAAATACAATAAACCATCCACGACGATAAGTAAAAAACAATATAAATCAGAGTATAATATCCTTCCATTACATAAGACTCAGTTGTACATAAGGGTGACATATGCAAATATACATTCATAAGTCCTACCTTGAATCTATAGCATGTGTCAACAACAAAATATGAAATAGAAGTTAAACACCCTTTAATTTGACTTAAATTTCACTTTAATTCATAAAGTTTCAATTTGAACAATTTGGTTTATACACTTTAAATCTAGTTTCAATTTAGTGTTTTGTGTGTGTGTGTGTGTGTTTGTGTGTGTGTGTGTGTCTAAATCAGAGATTAAAATTAACAATTTTGGAACACTTGTTAGTTTTCTAAAGTTTCAATTTAGATATTTCGTGTAAATTGGAGGTTAAATTAATAATTTTGGGACATTTATTAATTTTGTAAGATGTATACGTACATAAAATTAATAAAAATTTAGATAGAATGATCAAATTGGAACTAGACTTAAAATGTAGAAACCAAATTATTCAAATTGAAGCTATAGGAATTAAAATGAGATTTGAGTCAAACTATGAAAAATCTAAAAAATTCTCGAGATAATGATTTGTGATTATGATTCAATTTCAAATAATGAATAGCAATCCCAATCAAACAATTAACAACAAATCAACACAATGATTTAACGTGAAAAAAAAATCATAATTGGACTCCTCCAATTGTGATAAAAAATCATAGGCCACAGCCACCAAATAATCCACTAAGACAAAAAAGGAATTACACATAAGAACCCTTAATTACATAGCAAATCTACGCCTAAATTGAACCGAACTTGGTGTGCCTCTTCCACCACCGTCTTCCTTCGGAATTGCTTTGTCCAACGTTGAATCCACAACACCAATATCGAATCCATAACGATGAGCCACTCCGAAATCTACTAAAGCTTCAAACCCAAGTTCTTTGGAATCCACTGATGACCACCTCTCTTTTTATGTGAATGAAAGAACAAAAACAACCATAGATGTTTGTTAATATGAAACTCGTTGATTGTAGAGGCCCGGGTCAGAAAACCCGATCCATTTAAATTTTTTTGATTAGGACATGGAGTTATCTGAGTGATTCTGGTTGTGTCTGGGTGGTTTGGACCTTTGGTGTGTTCAGGCTGGCTTCAAAACAGCAGCCCAGGTGTTCTTCCTCAGGCTAGTCACGTCTACGACTAGCAAGTTCACGCTCGCGATGGGCTAATGGTGGTCACGCTTGTAATGGGGTTGCGACCAGGCCGCAACCGAATCCAGCTTCAGGTTTGTTGGCCCAGGAGAGGATGCGTGGCCCACAATGGAGTGTGTATCTTGCGAGGGTAAGTCGCGACCTTCACAGTCGCGCTCGCAGCTCCTATTGTTGCACCCGCAGTCTTGTTCACTGAATCACAGTCGCGGTCTATTTGTCTATATATGGCACTAAAAGTTGAAAATATCTCATTTTTGAGTCTCTTCTCTCTCTTCTCGCCCTTTCTGCCATTTTTTTCCCTTTTCAAGCTTGGTTTTTATATATTTCTACCCATTTTCTACCGCTACATAGAATTCGGTGAGGACTTCCTTTTAATTTGAGTAGATTGTGGTTTCGTGATCGATGATTTTTTGGGTTGTCTCCTCTTCGCTTCAAGAGACAGAGATTTCTTTGATTCTTTTCAATACCTAGTCTACGGATATACATGTGGTAGGTTTTATTACACAAAAATCATATATGTTGTAGGCTTTCAAAATCATGTAAAGAAAGTTCGTGATTTAAGTTTTGGGAGCTGAAATGGGATGGTTTTGGGTATTTTGGTTAATTGGGAGGTAGCTATGTGTAATGGTGTTGAGAATAGGGGAAAAATCTTATTTTACTATTAAGGGCTTAATTAGTAAAATGGGGTAAATTGTGTAATAATTGGGTTTTATGTTATGGAATAGAACTGATGGTTTAATTATTGAATTGGGATTTCATTGGGTCTCATGATTGTTTTGATTAATATCGTGTTGAGTTGATAGGGTTAATGTTTAACCCATTGAGCTTTTATTGAATAAAAAGGGATTTTGACTCGTGTTGAAAATGTTAAGGGTTTGGAATAACTGATTTGGTTTTGAAAGAAAAATGATGAGTTGAAAGCTTTTCTAAAATGGAACCATTGTGGAATTTAATTTGGGTTAATGGGTTATTTATCAGTTTAGAGATTTTGTCCTTAGTTATCGATGGAAGATGACTTTGTGCTATTGAATAGATTATGTGTATGTATTACACTTGTACGGTATTTGTAGTTTAGCTTGTTGTGGTATTTTGTGTATGTTGTGTGAAAGGTTCGTTTCTCTCTAGTTGAGCTGGTAAAGCATGGCGCCCTCACAAAGGTTTCCTCCCCCTACCGGTTTGCGCTCAGTAAAGTGAAGTGAGGTCCGTTTCTCTGTGGGTGAGGCTAGTAAAGCGTGGCACATTAACAGATTGCGCTTGGAAAAGTATGACCTAAGAGGCGTTCCCTTCTTGGTGACATCAGTAAAGCGTTAGGTATATTTTATGTGTTTTATTTTATTAATATCTATGTTGTAGGCCGATGAGAATGAAAGTATGTATTACTTTCCATTATTGGTAGTTGGAATATGTTTATCTCTTTGTTATTATGTGTATACCTGGTGATTTGAGGTTTTGGGTTTAGGTATGAACATGTTCTCTTTAAAATCAAATGTTAGAGTCAAACTCTTTTAAAATGAACGTAGAGGGTTAATGAAAGAAAGAAGTGTTGAGAGGTAGTGTTTGCATTAATTGGAAAACTAGAAGGGAATTGAGTTATGTTCTGTGATGTCAAAGAATATGGAAATTTTTGGGAAAAAAATGTACATGTGTAGTATATTCTGGAATATTAAACCGTTACACTACATATACTGTCAGGTACATTGCTAGAGGGATTGTTCAGACTTGAAATCTTTTATTTATTTGTTAGCCACGGGGCCTTTCATTTGTTGGTTAAATGCCATGTATTGTATAAGGGTAAATCTCTTTCATTTACTATTGTTCAATGTAAGCCTGAGGGCATTGTACAAGATTTGTTTATATATCATAAATATTGTGAGAGAGAATGTCATTCTTTACTTATTTGTCTGTATGACATGTGTATGAAATTATTTAAATGGATAATAGCATAAATGATTTGGTAATGGATTCGTGTAGTAAAAATTAGGGCGTTACAATCAATCAATCACCCTCAAATCATTAAGGGAAAAAAAAATACATAAACATTCTTCAATATAGAACAAACAATGCACAATATATTAAATAGAGCTGCGAAAACCACTAGAGCGCTCACTTTATCGCTCGAGCGATGTGACTAAAGGCAATACTCACATATGGGTTAACCGCTCGAGTGTAACGTCTACCTCTTGAGCGGTAAACATGCTTTTCCAAAAGTTCATAATGCAAATAGAAATACTGAATGAACTATTTCATCGCTTAAGCGCACAAAATACCGCTTGAGTGGTTAATCAACTTTGACTTCTTTCTTGGCTTCGAGGGCCCTACACCTCGACCTCACCTGGGCGCCGCCCCCCAGACCCCTGCAAGCTACCGGGTAACTCGATCTTCGTACTTAGTCAGCGAAGTGGTAAATAAGGAATGCTCAAGTCAATATCCGAAATGTCAGTACAAACTCCTCTACACAAGCACAACTCATGATTGATTCGCATCTAAACTCTCATAACTCACAGATATAATAGAGAGAATAAAAATATAACAGAATAGAGTTTTGTCTAATGGGATTGCCAATTCGAAAAATCTAATCAAATACATGACTAAAAAGTTTGAATAAGTTTTTTTTTAAAAAAAAAAATTATATTGTCACAACATAAGAATCTCAATACATACCATTTGTTTTGTTTGCATACAAACTTTTAAATAAAACGGCAAATGTTTATACATAAACAAGAAAAAAATAAATCGTTCAAATATATATTTCATTCCACTGTTTAAGTTAAATAATTGTTTTTTATTCATAAATTTATATCCAAATATTTGATTTTTATTTAAAAATTTATATCTAACATGAATAAATCTAGGGAATCCCACTTAGGGGTGTTTTAGAGGTAAGTTGGAGGCTAAAATAATTACTAAAACAAAATATTATATTTAAGTTATAATTATTTTATTTTGTCTTTCACAATCATTAAATTAATTAAAAAAAATCAATTAACTTTCCAAACAAAACTTTTATAACCAAATTAAAATAACGAAAAAAATTAAAAATTTAATTAAAATAATTAACTCCAAAATAAGACCTTAAAATTACCTTGAATTTACTCCAAATACGAACGTGGGGTTGATATTAAGCGTAAACTGTTCTGACTAATTTCTGAAAGGGTCATGCTCCGGAGCTCTAATTAAAGCTGCAAAAGGGCAGCTCTAATGAGCTTGTCAGCCAATAAAAAAAAAAAAAAACAGTGAAGTAAAAGACAAAAAAAAGAAAAGAAGAAGACAAATTAATGCTCCATTAGAGATCTTCTTTTAGAGGTCTAAATTATTTTTATTTCTGAAAACATATTTCGTGTGTACCGAAATTTAGACAGAATTGAGAGCGAGAGAGAGAGAGAGAGAGAGAGGAGACGGGCTCTGTTTCACCCAAACAGCGAAGAGCGCGATTTAGGACTAGTTAGAGAGAGAGAAGATACGGTGTTTTGGGTGTTCCTTTGGTTTGGTTTGGTTTGGTTGGTTTGGATCGACACAACGATTGCTTATCCAACTCTCCTTATCTCTGCTTCAAAGCTTCAACCATGGTAAATCCAATGCCATTCTCTTCGGATCTACGTGTTGATTTTATTTCCTTTGGCTTTTTCACATACATATGTGAATACCCAGATTGCACATTGCTAGAATTTGCCATAGCTGGTACAGGCGACTGACCTACTTTTTGGTCCATCTTGATGTTCATTTCCATGATTAATTGTTTCAATTCATCGATTTCTGTGATCTTCTTAGCAATAACTGTTTCATGCTTTTCAATCATTGCCCCTTGTTTGACTGCTCTGATACCAAGTGATATGGTTTGGTAAGAACAACCCAGTTAATGGATAGAAGATACAAAGATTACAGTTTCAACTACATCTGCCTATACACCCAATTCCCAATTCCCAATTCCTTCCAATTACAAAGTGTTTTTAGACATTCTAACTAATTCCATCTACCTACCTACCTCTAAGGTAGTGTTCGGTTCACTAGAATGAAAGTGGATTGGACTGGAATTGTCATTCCTTAACCATTCCCCTCAATATTCCATTTGTAAATTTTTATTTTTTATTTTTTTTAGTGGCCAAATGTGAGAATGGACATTCTATGGAATGATGATTCCATTTTGGCTCATTTCAATGAACCAAACATTGCATAACTGCTCTGTAATGAACACAATTGGTATAACAACTTCTTGTGTCCAACCAATTACATGCCGCCACGTTTAACCAATGAACAACTCCCACATGCACACTTAGTCCTGCTCACGGTAACAAGCTAAGTGATTGCCACATGTCCTCTTTATTTTAAATTCTAACTGTAACAATCTCAGAACAACTTTGTATCAGTATGTATATGCATACATATTTTAGTCGAAATACAGCTGCTAGTTTCCTGGACGTATATATTTATCGAAATATAGCTCCTTGAGATTGCACAAACAATTCGTAATTATGGGATTTAAGTTTGTCTTTTCTAATTGTTGGATCTGTACTTAGAGGCTTTTTGGTTGTGTTTTCAACTTTTGTTTTTATGTTTTAAGTTTTTGAGAAACACATAAAATTTGTTTCGTGATCTATTTACGATTCCCAAAAACAATCCCATTTTAGAAACTATCAAAAAGTTATTTTCAAATTTTCAAAACTATTTTGGCACAAAAAATGAAGAATAATGGTGCTTTAAATTTTTCATTTTTATTTTTTGTTTTTGAAAATACAATAAAATATAAACACAACCAAACAAACCTTAGGTTATGTTTGGATCATGAATTTAGATAGGGATTTAGAAAGGGAAAAAAAAAATGTTAGGTGAAATGTGAATGAAATATAACTGCATTTCACCTACATTTTTTTTTCCTTTTTCAAATTACTACTCAAATCCATAATCAAAATAGAGCCATAGAGCTCATTTGGATTGATGTCTAGATTTTAAATTAACAGATTTGAGGTTGAATTTTATAAAAATATTGGAGACTTGGCTATTCTGGGTAGATAGAAAAACTATACTTGACTACGAAGCATGTGGTACAGATATTGGTACTGGTACAATATGGGTACTTCAATATGGTAAAATCTTAAAAAGTAGGGTTACGGTACGGCTAGGTATGCTTGTAAAAAAGTAATTATTTTTAATTTGAAGTAATGCAAAAATTAGTTAAATGATTTAGTTTTTAAGATCCAATCAACAATTCACATTTAATATGAAAAGTAGGGTTTAAACCAAAACTAAATGGTATTATATTAAATAACTACAAACCAAAGCTTAATTTTAAAACTATGCTAAACATAAAAAATTAAGTCTAATGAAACTGACTTCACATATGTATAAAGAAAAAAAAAAAAAAAACTATTTTAGCTGAGGTACGACATGGGTATAGACTTGGTAAATATACGGTACGCCAAAAATTAAAACAAAAATTTGGGTATGTGTTTTATGTAACCGATACGTTTGCAGAAACACCATGCAAAATAACACTACCCAATAAGTACACGTGGTATAGGTACGGCATGTTTGTCGAAGTATTCATGCTTCATAGGTAATTGATAGAAGATAAGTTGATATAGAAGAGATGTATTTTAGTAGTATCCTTGTAGCTAGAAGAAAACCCATGATAAAGCTACATAATTCAAACTTGAAATGAGAGTTAAAACTATCATATATAAATTTGAGTTATTCTCCTTGAATAATTAATGTCAAATCCATTCATTTCAAATCCAAAAATACAAACAAAACCTCTTTTTTTATTACTATTTTTTTGTTCATAGGATTGTAACTTGTAAGTGTTTTTATATTGCTTGGTTTTGGATTTCTTTTTCTATTGAAGCAATGTTATATTGGTATTTACTGGCACTGTACCCCAAGTTTGATATGTCTCAAGCCTGAATTTTAGGCATTTTTGTTGTTGTCAACTAATGCTATAGATCTTATTTGGTTTTGTGGATGTAAAAAATGAAATCCTAATCCTTATGCCTTGTTTTACCCCCATTGAATGCCCTTCCCTTCACTTCATCTCCACATATTGGCCAAAATGGAGAGGGTGCTGAAAACAATTGATGTTATTGTGGTTATATAAAAATTCATTGCTTAGGATCCAAAAAGCGTCCCAAAAGAATAACAGGAAAGCAAAGAAATATATGGAACTATTGGCCCTCTTAAACTAATTTGTTTTGCTAGTAACACTTTGTTTGGTTTTTAGAGTTGTCAAGCAAAATGAAATGAAAAGGAAAATGAAATAAGAGAAACTAATATCTTACTTTTATTAGGTATTTTTCAAAAAATTCATTTTTTGGGTTACCCTTGGAAAAATGAACAAGCATTAGTAATTTCGTATATTACATGAACTCGGGTACAGGTGTCGGGTGCTGGTATGTATCTAGATGTCGGATTATCAAATCATAAATTTATGGATACACGGACTCGGCAAAAAAATGTCATATTTTTTTATTTTTAATCAAGTATGTGAGATAAAATGATGTTATATGTAACATGTAGTGTCAAAAAGACAGTTATAGCAATTATACAACAATATGTATATATAATGATAGTGTTATATGCAATTATATAAGAAGTATCCGTTAAAAAATATCCGACACATAACCCATTCTCCGAGTGTTGAATATTCGACACGGGTATTTGATTTATTTTGAAAAGTCCGTGTAACATGGGTAATTTCATTTCCTTATTTTTTTCCTTTCTCTCAACAAATTTGGGATCCAAACAAAAAGAAACTTATGCATGTAGGCCTCAAATTACTTTTCCCGTGATAAGCACAAGCACGGACACGGACACAATATGGACACGCGAACACGCAAATTTTTTTTGGAAAAAGAGACATGATACGCAGGGGCCACGTAAAAAATATTTATTTATTTATTTATTATTTGTCATATTGATGCAGGACAATTAGGTACAATATTGTGAGAACGGTAAAGTTGGATTTTGTGAGTTTTTATTGTGATTTCAAGCTGAAAAGTAATGGAAAAGTTGGGGCTTTGACTAGTAAATGGAAGAATTAGGGTTAGGGCTTAATGTAATAAACTAGAAGATTGAAAGAAGTTTTAAAGCTCTCAAATTTTTATAAAATATCAATTCTATTAAATTATAAGCATTATATGGCTTTATATAAAATTAGGAGATTTCCTAAACCAAATATAACCAAAAAAGGAAATTACAATATTTTTTACTTCTAAAACTAATTTAAGACTAAATAAGAAATATAAATAAAAACTAATTAAATAACTTAACCCATAAGACAATCCATGGGTGACCCCTACAAGCCATAAATTCTATAAATTACCAAGATACCCCTAACCTTAAAAATCGTAAAAAACATAAAAATAATAATAAAATAAGACTCTAATAATACTAGAAATATGACTATGCGTGGTACTATCGGTTTTTTCTTAAAATCATGCCAAGTTCCAAATATCACCGCTATTTTGAATTTACTCTTTCTTGAGCTTCCTATACTTTGCATCACATATTTTTTAATACTATATATTTATTTTATATCAAATATTTAATTTTATCAAATCCATCAGCTTTGGGTATGTTATTTTGATAAAATAAAAAAAAGAAAAAACCTCAACGTGTCTTTAGCGTGTCCCAACATGTCCCCAACGTTTCTTAATTGTCCTAGTGTGTCCAACACTTGTCCGGCCCGTGCCCATGTTGGACACCGGTACGTGACCTCCGGAGAGATCTCTGTGCTTCATAGCTTTTCCACATAGGTAGGCCCAAAGATTATTTTATTTTATTTTTTACCTTTGTTTTTGGGTGGGGGGCTTTAAATTTTGAATTTTTTTTTTGTAACTATTTTATGAGCGATATCCATGTACACAAACAAGCCCCTAAACCTTTCAAAATCAGCTTATAGGGAAGTTTTGGATTTGACTCTATAACTGGTCTCTCATCTAATAGATGCCTTTTTTTTTTAAATGTTAGCTTGATAAGATTTTATCATATAATTATAAAAAAATGTACGATATGCATTCTCTATTTTTTTTTCCCCCACAAAAATTTGCTTAGAAGTTAGAATCATATACATAAGATGATCTTTGAATTTTGGATATGCTAATGAGAACAAATAGACGACAGTTGCCTGGTCTCTCTCTCTCTCTCTCTCTCTCTCTCTCTCTCAAGTTTTAGATTTACTTAATCTTTACATGATAACCAAGCCATAGGTTGCACAGGTTTTATTTTTCTTTGAAGTTTTTTAATTCACCCTGGGGGAATGTTAAGAGCACTATTCCTAAAATGTTAGTGGACTGTGTTGGAGGAAATTACAAATTTTAGTGGGTGGACTTTAGTGGAGTTACAAATTATTTTTCTTTGTGAATGTTGCTGATTTTGCAAATGAATTTTTGAAGCACACTATGCTTCAAGTGGATTGCTAATATGTTATCTTTTGTCTGTCGCAGTGTATATTTATATATACACCTCTGTTTTTTTTGTTTTTGAATGTGAAAATTTATAACATCTGTATCTTTTGGAAGTTGAGGCGGAGCCGCACGTCTAGTTGTGCAAGTTTATTTATTTATTACTCTGCTGGGGAAGATTTGCAGGACCTCCTTTTTGTTGATTATTACCAGTCTCATGAGAAATGTATGACTTCTTGGTAATGAAATTTTATTACTAGATTGTCTTTTATTATGCTGTTAAGGGGAACATTCGACTCCTTGTTTTTAAGGTGTAATTTAGAAAGGAGATGGCTTGCATTGCTTCATATCCTGATAATAGAACTTCTCAAAAACCCTTATTATAGATGCAAAAAGTATATAGTGGTCTTTGTTATAAAATTCAAACTTAACCGAAATGAAATGGATCCTTGTTGTCTAAGGTAAACTGTGTCCACTTGTTTGCACTATGAACAACAACATATAACCAAGTCAGGTTTTCACTTATTATAAATCACTTTAGCCATATATATAGATATTTCATAGTTTTTGAAGAAGCAATATAATTTGGGTGAATAGTATGAGGTAGCTTATTATTCGACTCTTATTTGCCCCTTGTGACAAAACTGGTCCTGCTTGTTGCTTCTTTCTGAACATAATTCTTGTGGGAATAACTTGCTACTTTAATGGGTTATGTAAAGGGTTCAGTTGCTTTCAACAGCTTCATTTCTTTGCTAGAATAATATAATGGCTGGTGTTTCTATTGCCTATGAAAATGAGATAATGTTTAGTGACTATATGTTTTTGCACGTGTTCCAGATTCACTTTGTGCTTCTCATTAGCCGACAAGGAAAGGTGAGGTTGACAAAGTGGTATTCACCGTATACCCAAAAGGAAAGAACTAAGGTAATTTTAACTTTGCTTATATTTCCAATTCTTGGAGGTGCCAGTACATGCCAAGGGCATTTTTGGGAAAAAAAAAGAAGGAACCGAGTGTCTCCTTCCTCAAGTACTAGAAGATAAAATAATTATTGAAAACCATATTCTATCATGTTCGTTTCAGGGGAATACAGAGGGGAATTGGACTAAAAAATATGCGGTGCCCAAATGTCCCCCAATTCTCCCTAGTCCTTTGTTTGGGTTGCCTGATAAGGGCGGATTATTTGTCCAGAATCCCCCATTTTCATGGGATTATTTGTCCAACCCCGAGGTAACTAATTCCCTTTAGGATTATCTTCCTTCCTCAACCAATTTCAAAATAATCCTCCAGCTCTTATCCTATTTTTTACCCTCACAAACCAAACATAGTATAATAAATCTCATGGTATATATTAAACCCATCCAATATCCCATGGTATGAAAAAAACACTTGGGTCCCATGATATTTACTTATCTCCCTTATCTCTTCTAATCCTATCTACTTAAACAAGCGTGGCCAAAGTGGCTTTGCATTGGGAGAAGCTAACCATTTAGAACTAAGGAGTTGTCATTGTAAAGATTCAAGGAAATATGTTTTTAGTCATATATTGACTATCTTTAATTACATATGGTTAGCATATCTGAAATTAATTTGTGTAAATATGTCAAATGATAACTTAACCATATATAGCTTTCCTGAAGTGATGTGCATTTCATTCATCATTGAAATGTTACAGCAATGGATGTTCAATTTGCACAGGTCCTTCGAGAGCTCAGTGGTTTAATTCTCACACGAGGCCCGAAGCTTTGCAACTTTGTGGAGTGGAGGGGTTTCAAAGTTGTCTATAAAAGGTAGGTTTTGATTTCCATCCCCAATTTGATGTTCATGCTTGCAACCTTCATTCCACGAGTAAAGGGAATTCTGTTAATTTATATTTTTTTACAGATATGCCAGCCTGTATTTTTGCATGTGCATCAACCAGGATGACAATGAATTGGAGATCCTTGAAATTATACACCATTTTGTAGAAATACTTGACCGCTATTTCGGAAGCGTGAGCCTGCTAAACCTCGGAAAATTAAAAATAATACTAATTAGGTTAATCCACTATCTTTAACTTCAATTGATTTCCATGTTGTTGTCTCCTCTTTATCAGGTCTGCGAGCTGGACTTGATCTTTAATTTCCATAAGGTATTTTCTATTCTAACCGCTTCATATTTAAATTTTGATCTCTTTCCTGGTTTGTTGTGGAAGGCCATTGTTTAACAGAAGGAAATTTAAGTTTTTTTTTTCGGTTGGATCTCCAAATTGAATCAATGACGGTGGAACTGAATGTTAGAGAGATTCATTTAGTTAATTCCAATTAGTTAGGGTTTTCCATGCTTCTATTTGTCTGTGTGTTGTATTTCATATTGGACACCAAAATTGTGTATAATCTCTCCCTAGCACTTTGTTAGCGATCCTTCAACAATAAAATTGAGCCTTTTTTTTTCTTCCCATACAAGCCAAGGCACAAGTCTTTTCCTGAATCAAAAAGAAAAAGATTACCATATTTTTATAACCAATTATAGTTGTTGAAGATCCTGCTCTGAAACCATCATGAGAATGGGTGTGTTGTGATTACGGATGGTAGAGAGAGATAGTAGCTTAGCTCATTTTGTTCTCAATGACTTGTTATAATTTTTGAAAAGTTTCTGATCGAAAATTTGACAGGCTTATTACATATTGGATGAGGTTTTAATTGCCGGTGAACTTCAGGAGTCTAGCAAGAAAACCGTGCACCGTCTGATAGATGCACAGGTATTCTAGATTGTCCGACTGGCCTTTTGTTTCTTCATAGTTGTAATGCATTTACTTCACGAGATTTTGAGATTTTCTTTTTCTTATCGGTTTGTAGGATTCTTTAGTGGAGGCTGCTAAAGAGCAGGCCAGTTCAATTAGCAACATGATTGCGCAGGCGACCAAATGAGAGTACAGTAAAAGTTAAGCTCATGTTGGCCTATTTGGTGTAGCTTTTTGTAACCAAAAAGAAGTCAAAAGCACTCTTCCTCGGCTTCTAGATAATCAATTTTTTTTTTTTGCTATTTCTGCTTATAAATTGTAAACAGAAACTGCACCGATTGTCTAATACCAATTAAATATGATTAAATATTTGGTATGAGGAGATAATGAGCTTTGTGCTTAGGCATAAGAAGATATGAATTGTTGTAATATTTTGCTTGAAGAACCTGAGAGAGCAGTATATGAGGATTATTAAACCATCCTAGCTTAATCTATAAGCTTTATTTAGATTATTTAGGTCTTTTTAGCTCAATAGTGTAAATTTGTTCATACTTTAATTTTTGAACTTTATCTGATTGGTCACTCAAAGGAGCGGGTGCCACTCATAACTTTACCAGGTGGATCTCACTTTAGTTAGGTTCATATGTAAACTAAAATATAGAAAGAAAACAAAATTCCTATTCTGAAAAGGTGAACGAACAAGAGTAAGTGTGTTGCTTACCACTTAGGACCAAATAATCAGATTTGTTACAAAGTAAAGTACTTCATATTTAATTAATCTTTTTGACGTTATTTTTCTTTAAAAACACATTATTATTGAAGCAATGATGTTTTTATTCCTAATTCCCTGTTTTTCTCAAGATTGGGGTTTATTTGTGAATTTGGTATATATATATATGAATCTTTGAAATGCGATCAATAATTATTAATGCTTTTATATTGTTTTATGTCTAGAATTTACGGAAAAATTTGAATAGTACATCAGTTTGGATTCAAATAATTAGGAGAAAATTCTTGGAATTAATGAAGGGTTTTCATGATTTACGTGAATTTGCAAATGTAATGAATCTCTCTCTCTCTCTCTCTTTCTAAGTTGAGAACCTCTCTCTATAGTTTCTCCTTTCTAGGGTTTTCAGTTGCGACGGCTGTTGGGGTGGGAGAGGGAGTCTCGAGGGGCCTTCAGCCACCTCATCGCCCCTCTCCCTTTTCTCTTTGTTTTCTTGTGTTGTTGTCCAATAACTTGGAAGTTATGGCTTTCCACCATCTCTCTCCTTGGTGAGGTGTTTCTTCTCCCCTTCGCTTCAACTCCAGCTGTGACCTAAATCTGTAGCCTCTCCTCTTCTCTGCCTCCATCTGGCATCACCTCCATTCTCTCCCTTGCTCGCCGTCTTTCTCCACCAGATTCTCCGCCTCCCTTCCCAGATCTATCGTTGTCACCTCCTCCTGCTATATTGGATTCACCGCCTTCTTTTCCAGATTTGCAGCCTTCACTATCGTCGGATTTGCTGCCGCCACTACTGGACGTTCGGTCGGTGGGTTTGTGTTTGTGTTTCTGTTTTCTGATTTTCTGGTTCTCTTTTGTGTCTTGTTCTGTTGTTTTGGTGTGTGGGAGTCCATTGGGGGGTGATTGTTAAGCTTACCCTCTCTATGATTGGGATTTCTAATTTATCTCAGACATACTCTACTGCCAAACTTTTATGATCAGCTCTGCTTCGCAGTATAAGTACGAACACGAGCACGAGCACGAGCAGAAGATGTGCGTCTGAATATTTTCATAGTTTCTTTCCTTTGTGATTCTTGTTATATTTTTACTTTGTTTGGTGTAAGTTTTAGTTTGGTTGGACTTTTGTAAGTGTCGTTTGGCTTTATTTAATGAAATTTCCTTCAGATAAAAAAAAGATAGCATAATCAAACTTGGAATGATTTGTGGTTACTGCAGGCATATAATTACTATAATGGATACGCAAGAAAAATTGGTTTTAGTGTCACGAAACGAAGGACAAACAGGAATGGAGGCAGAGAACAGAAAATCGTCAATTTGATTGTAAGGTGAATCTTGTGTGTGAACTCATTAGGTATAAGTAACCATGTAATCAATCACAGCATTCCCATGGTATTGTGCTGTCTCAATGTTCACACTATTTGAAATCCTAAAGAAAGATCGAGATTTTCCAAATGAGACTTATCAATACTCATTGGAGCTGAAGCAATCAAATATTTTCTGTTATGTGTACAGAAATTGGAAGAGCTCAACAGCTAACTTCATTCGATCTGATTGCAACAATTTGATACAATGCGCAAAAGTTCGATTTCTTAAAAAGGGTGATTTACATGTCTTCTAGGCTACTCCAGACAAATGAAATAGGAAAACAAACATTTCTTCTACTCTTTTTGCACCATTAAAGAATGTGAAATAAGTGGTATTTTCTTTTGTGATGCTGGTCAAGAAGGAATTATGATTCATTTAGTGAAGAACTATGGCGTGTGGTATACTAGATGATGAAACAATTGATGTGGTGGTGTCATTATTTACTACTTTCTTGGCACTATTAAAAAACAAAGCTTTTAACACGAAACTATTTGCGACAATAATTTTACAATGTTGTCGTAAATAACTACTACCATTAAAAGATAATTGCAAAAATCCGCATATTTTTATGTCACATGCCTATTGCAAAATAACAAAAAGAAAAAGAAAATAATAATAATAATAATAATAATGGTGAGCACTACCATTGAAATGGATCATGACTCAAAAATTATCATATAAAAATTGAGTTTAGAGGGGATTTTATAATGAAATTGTTATTTATGATTTGAATACCAGGAAAGGAACTTCTTTTGAGATGCTAGTCAAGAAAGAATTATGATTCGTTTAGCAAAGAACTATGACGTGTGGTATACTAGATGATGAAACAATTGATGTGGTGGTGTGATTATTTACCACTTTCTTGGCACTATTAAAAAACAAAGCTTTTAACACGAAACTATTTGCGACAATAATTTTACAATGTTGTCGTAAATAACTACTACTATTAAAAGATAATTGCAAAAATCCGCATATTTTTATGTCACATGCCTATTGCAAAATAACAAAAAGAAAAAGAAAATAATAATAATAATAATAATAATGGTGAGCACTACCATTGAAATGGATCATGACTCAAAAATTATCATATAAAAATTGAGTTTAGAGGGGATTTTATAATGAAATTGTTATTTATGATTTGAATACCGGAACAAGTGCTAAAAGAATCCCAATTCAGCAATTTTCCTGAGGTGAGGCAAATCGACACAAAAAAGAGATAAAGAAGTGCCCACCTTTTGTGTTAGTTTCCGTGAAATTCTTTTGTGCACCTAATACAAGTACATAGTCATTTTGTAAGTGTAGTGGATTGCAAAATAGTCCTATCGTGGTTAGATAATATAAGTTGAATTATGTTACAAATGGAAACAAAAGCATCCATATATAGTTACCATTTGAAGCTTGTGTTTCAGGTTCCAAAGGAATTTAAAAAGAAAAGGAGTCACCGAAAAATGGACACTGAATTCACATATACTTATTCTGTGTCCCGTTTCTGTAACTACTTCATATATTCGTACTCTTCTTATTACAATATACAAGTGACAAACATTACTCTACAGAATTTCTCCGAAACAATACAAGCCACCCATATTACAACTGACAATGGAAGACCGCGGACGAACCAAAATTTCTCTAAACACTAGACAACAATCTATTTCGACCATCAATTGATTGGATTAAACTTGATTTTAGTCCTTCACTTCCTCTCTCTTACTACCGATGACGATGCCGTCTAATTTACAAGGCTCGGCTTCTTCTAGCATATGAACCACAGTTCTCATTGTAGGCCTCAACGCCGGAAGCCTAGCGGTGCAGAGAATGGAAATTTTCAACACCTTGATTGCCTCTTCCCTGTAAGCTTCTGGGATTCTGGCGTCTACAATGCTCAACACACTCTCTTTACTCTTCAGCTTGCTTGACACCCAGTTCACTATGTCCTTGTTGTCTCCAAACTCCGGCTCGATTGGACTTTTTCCCGTGACAAGCTCCATCAAAACTACCCCAAAACTGTAGACATCGCTCTTCTCATTCACCTTATAGGTATACCCATATTCTGTAAAATTAATGAGGCATATATTTAACTTAATTAGAACCAATATGATTTTTTATCAACATCAAAAGAAAAGGCACCCACAACAATACTACATACCTAGAAATAGTGCTTTTCTAAAAAAGTACTTTGAAAACGAAATGAGTGAATCAAATTTATTTTTAGTGTGATGCCCTTTATCTTTCACTAATCATAATGTGACATTTCTCGTTACTTAATAACACGGCCACGTAATATCACCACTATATGGTTATGATATGAATTTTGAACTTATGTGATACCCATCACATCCATAATGAATTTGGAGCACATGTAAACTATTTTTTACTTTTCAAAAAACCAAAAAAACAAGAAAGGAAGGATTCAAATTTCTTGTCATTGTTGTTTCAAAAATAGAAGGTACGCACACACGGAAGAAGAAGAAATGCAGCAATGATGCAAATATTGGTGAGAAATCAGTGATTTTGATAATTTTAACAATGCTATTTGAAAATTGACACGAAAATGTACATACCGGGAGCAATATAGCCATGTGTTCCGGCAATCACATGAGTCGAGTCCTTGCTAGCACTCGCCGGAACAATCTTTGCCAACCCAAAATCCGCAATCCGAGGCTTCAAATTTTCATCCAACAAAATGTTACTGGACTTAACATCACGGTGAATCACCGGCCTCTCACAACCATGGTGCAAGTACTCCAACCCCTTCGCCGCCCCAACTGCAATCTCATATCTACTCTCCCAATCCAAACCCATCTTTCTACAACTATCATGCAATCGATCCCACAAACTCCCATTAGGCATGTACTCGTAAACCAACAAGCTCGAGTCCTCGCTTGTTATACTACAATACAATTTCACCACATTAACATGCCTAATCGAGCTCAATGTTCCAACCTCTGCATCAAATTCCGGTGACTTTCTGGCGCCGGACTTTGGCAACATCGGAGATGTGATCCGGGATTTTATCCCGGAATTTGAGTTCCAAATGTGTTTCACTGCCAATTCTTTACCATTGGGTAGCGAAGCTTTGTACACATTTCCTGACCCACCTTTTCCTATCAGATTCTCTTGCTTGATTGAATCGAGAATCTCATCTTCCGTAAAGCTCAGAACATGGAAAGATTTGAGATCCCAAGAACCTTGTTTCAATGATCTGTCTTCTTGATCTTTGTGGGTTTTCTTGAAGTACAAGAAACATGAAACTGAGAGAAGCAACAGAATTGCACCCAAAGCTACACAGAGTATGACTATTCGGAGCTCGTGGGATGACCCGGAATCTGACGAACATCGCCGGAAAAAGTTGATGTTCTGACTGCAGAGGCCAATGTTTCCTGCGAAGCTGCCGTTATAGGCCTCAATCGAAAGAGATTGCGGTACCGGTCCAGTTAATTGGTTGTATGAGAGATCCAGAAGGCTTAGCCTCAGAAATGCCAAGCTCGCCGGAATTTGACCGGAGAGCTTGTTTTTCGACAAGTTTAATGAGTTTAAAGCCGGTAATGATCCGATATTCGCCGGAATTTCGCCGGAAAGTGAATTGTCTGCCATGTTTAAGTCGTTGAGAGCGATACAAGAAGCTACACTGTCCGGAATTGGACCCGAAAAACTATTGTTCTGTAATTGAAGTCTGTTTAGTTGTTTGAGCTCGCCGATTGTCGCTGGAATGTCGCCGGAAAATTGATTGTAACTCAGATCAATCTCGTTCAATGATGAAACTTTCGAAATCTCCGGCGGTAATTCGCCGGATAATTGATTGTTAGAGAGAAATAGTTGAACTAATGATTTGGCATTTTGGATATCAGATGTAATCGGACCTTGAAATTGATTCATGGCGATATCGATTAATCCGACATTGGGTAGTCCCCAAATTCCACTCGGAACTACGCCGGAAAGCGAATTGTTGCTCACCCGAAATCGAGTCATCGACGAACAGTTTACGTAAGTCGCCGGAATTTCGCCGGAAAACTTGTTCTGAAGAATCAAGAGCTTCATCATCTTCCCTTGCTTGCACATGTCCGGCGGAATCGGACCCGTCAGAAAATTCTCCGAAACATCTATGAAATCAAAATCAGCCCAGGAACCAAGCATCTGAGGAAGAGAACCAGTGAGTTTATTCGTGTAAAGCGATAAATTCACTAGCTTTTTGAACTCACCAAACTCCACCGGAACTTCTCCGGAAAACCCATTTTCGAATAGTTGCAGAGTCACCAGATTAGTCAACGACCTAAGCTCCGAAAGATCACCTTCGAGATAATTCATGGAGGCATCAAACTTCTGAAGACTCGTTAAATTTCCGAACCCAGATGGGAATTTTCCAATTAAGCTGTTGTTGTAGAGTTCTAGCTGCCATAGCTTCCCAAGCTTCGAAATCTCCGGCGGAATTTCGCCGGTAATATTATTGTCGGAGAGCTCTAAACTTCCAAGCTCGGTGAGATTCCCAATTCCGGGAGGAATTTGGCCTTGAATATTACAATTCGACAAGTAAAGCAATTTCAACCGAGTAAGTCCCACCACCACATCTGGAAACAGAATCGAAGAATCGAACTGGTTGTCTCCGAGGCTCAAATCAACAAGACCCGTCATGTTGGAAAGTGAATTCCATGGAAAAGTACCTGAAAACCCGCTGTTATTCAGATACAGAGACACTAATCGATTCAGGGGCGATATGTCTGGAACCCCACCAGAGAAGAGATTGTTGCCGAGATCCAAATACTGTAAATTTACGCATTTTTTCAAGTCGTCTGTGATTGGTCCGTGGAGTGAGTTTTGGCCCAGAGAGAGCTTTTGGAGTGATTTCAATTGGCAAATCGAATCAAATGGAACAGTGCCTGAGAGCTGTTGATTTGACAGCTCGATAGCTTTGACAGAGCCATCTGGGTTACATGAAATTCCAGTGAAATTGCATATAGGATTGTGGGTTTGCCAGGAATTAAATATATTGGTGCTGGAGTTTTGGAGGGTGGTTTTGATGTTAAGAAGGATTTGGAGGTCGTCGGAGTAGGCGACGGAGAAGAGGCAGAGTAGAGAGAAAAAGGGAAGGATTTGCCGGGAAATGTTGGCCACCGACATATCGGACGGTGGAGGGAAGAGATTAGGGGGGGATTGTGTTTTTGGGGGGGAGGTGTTTTTTAGTGAGAAGAGAATGGAATGGCAGGAAGCTGTCGAGACAGCGCCATTTGAACACAGATTTGAGGTGTTCACATTTGCTTTCTTTGTTAAGCAGAAGCGTGGTTTGTTTAACACCGTTTGTTGTAATGGCTATTATGGGTTGTTTTGGGAAGATGGTAAAAAGTGATTTTTTGACTTTTAATCAACCTTTTGACTTTTTTAAACAAATGATTTGGGAAGTTAGTAAAAAGTGACTTTTGATTTTTTTGATTAATATTTGTTTATGATGTCAAATCATAATAAAATGACTAAACTACCCCTATTTATTTAAAATATTTACAACTGAACCTATGTAACACATTGTGACCCATGAGGGGTAAAATTGTAATTGCACCGTTGGCTAAAAACCAACTTGCCAAATGAAAAAAAAAGCCAAAAAAGCCAACTTTTGACTTTTGCTACTAACAAAAAAAAAGTAACTTTTAGCCAAGTTCCCAAAATAGCCCTATGTCTGTTCACTGATGTTTATCCTGTGGTGGATATCACATACATTTTATAATTACAAAAAAAAAATAAATAAATAAATAATTTCATATTTTTTGAATCATAATAGAAAAAAAAGAAAAAAAAAAGTCATAATCAAATACAAAAATATCATAACTAAATATTTTAAAATAATATTATATCTAACTAACAAAATTAATTATAATTAAAGAAGAAAATGACGTAATTAAAAGTACATATAATATAAGGGGTGTATAATAAAAAAATTCTCCATACCTTTAATAAGGATGGTTTATTTATTGGTGTCTCTCTTACATTTTTAATAGAAAATTTGAAATAATGTTTACCATATGCACCCGTTACTATTTTTATAATCTTTAATTATTTAGAGAGAAATAGTTCCAAATTTACCCTTATTCCTAACTTTCTAATCCTAATTTTCCAAACCCCAAATCACCTAATGACTCTTCGTATGCTTGATTAGTAGAAAGGGGAGTTGGTTTAGCCATGGTCTGTTCGAATACTAAGGTGTTGGGATATTCAACAGAATCAAAAGGGAATTAATGCAAATAATCATCAAATAGGTGACGGTTATGTTTCCTGGAGATGAATTCCATACACGATCCAAAAACGCGGGAAAAGCTTCTTGGTCCACTAATATCACCAAGTATTGGGATATTAGTGCGGGGGGTAATGTTAGCTATATATTTTGTAAAATCCAGTTACAGTCTGACACGTGGCAGAATAAGGGTATTATTGGAAAATAATTTAAGTCTCCAATCCTGATCGTACACGTGGTGATGATAATTGGTTCTCACATGGTCTGAGCAACATTGGATCAGTAAAGAAATGCAAGGTGACGTGGCTTCAACGGTTACTCATATTCAAATTCAAATACAGGAGGGAAGCCTAACTGCAAATGGTGGCATAATGGAGCTACTTCTAAGGCAACATGATCAGCGATCATGGAGGGGCAGTTCGACGGTTCGAAGAGCAGTTCGAAGGTCATCTTTGACAAGTATAAATAGCAGAGAGACCCCCAGGAAAAGGGACGAAACTCAGATCATAGATACCAGTCTTTATTTTATATTTTTACTTTCCAGTTTTACATTCCTGTACTTTCAATACCTGCACTTTACATATCTGCACTGCACTTCAATTCATAGGAGTAGTCTCAAGTAGATTCAAGTGGACTGTCGCTGTAAACCTCTTCGAGGCTGAGTTTGCACTATTGTAAGTTTTTCATTTTTATGAAATACTTCCATTGTTCTTCATATTAATTGTTATTTCTCTTAATTTCTCCTAAGTCGAGCCACCAGTAAAAGTCCTATTCATTGAGGCTGAAAGAACTAAAACACAATCGTCTGGTAATTGGTTGGCAATCACAATTTCTGTAAGGACTGATTGATCCTTGCTGGCACGCTCACATTCACAAAAATACCCTTCGAAAAGCCAAAAAGCCAACAACTACGGAGTAAAAATTGATTAAAACAAATAAATAAATAAATAATTATAATCAAACATTACATTAGTTAATTATAATCAAACATCCCCTGAATCGTAAATAAAATAATATTATAATTAATATTACAATATGTTATAACTAACACCATAATAAATCAAAATTAAAAAAAATATATCATAACTAAATATGTATATAATATACATCTAAAGAAAGTTTACCATAGAATTTTCAGTACCATTATACACATTTAATATTTACTCCGCCAATAGATGGTGTTTTGTGCCCATTAACCCCAAATATTATTTTATATATTGTGTTTTGGAATTACCACCAATTTAAAAGATCTAACGCCCCGGTTATTGAGAGAGAAATATCGTAACAAAAAATTGATCTCAAAATAGGTCTATCAAATAATACTCTCTCAAGTTAGGATGATCAACTTAAAAAAATTGAAACCTAATTATAATATATCATAGCAAAAAATTACAAATATTATAACTGAGATATATGGTACACACCTTGGTGTATATAATAGAATTTCTCTTTTGTTATGTCTTTATAATAATAGGCAATTCAATATTTTTGGAACAATGCTGTATGTTATTTATATATTGACACTACATTTTATCTTCTAAAAGTGTAACACAAAGTGGTGGATCTCATGGTTTAGACAAATAACTATGCATTTGGAGCACCAGCATCTTTATCAAATTAGTTATTTTTATTGTTTAGTTAAAATAGTAAGTAAATCAGTAAATTTCACTTCCATCAAACTAACTATTAAGTTAGTCATTTTAGTTTTGGTGATTTTGGCTCAATAAAGGGAACTTGTGGTTTTACCTAGTCAAATATTAAAAACTATTACTTCTTATATTTGGAAATTAATTGTGTTGAGTTTATAAAAAACAATTCTAAATGAAAATGAATAAAAATAATATTTAAACAATATAGAAAAAGAATAGAGAATTTGTGGATAATTTATTTAAAAATGTGTAAAATCAAAATAGAAAAATAACTTTTAAGTCAAAATATAACAAAATTTGAATTAGTTTGATGGAGATGCTCTTACTCCATGAGTATTGAATAATTTTTTTAAGTTATCACATTTGTGGGTTTGATTGTCATAAATGTCATAACTCAATCTTGAGTCATATAACTTAAAAATAAAAATATTCATAACTAAATATTACATAAGATATAGCTAAAGAGTTCTTGGATCATAAATAACATAATGTTATAAAAAATATCATAATGAGTCATATCTAACACCATAATATATTATAACCAAAGATCATAAAAATCATAACTGCAGCTACATATAGTACACACTCAAAAGGGGTGTGTATAGGGTTGCCAATGTACTGTGCCATACCAAGCCAAGTCGAGTTGAACTTTATTGAATTCGAGCTCGACTCATTTTCTTGTCAAGCACGTTTATTGTGCTTGAGTTCAGCTCGATAACTAATTAAGTTCGAACTCAGTTCAACTCAATAATATTTATGAAACTCAAGCTCAATTCGACTTGATAAATTATATGTTAGGTTTTATTCTTGTCAACCCCGTTTGACAAAACTCCTTTCAGTTGTATTTATTTTCGCATTTTTATTTCAGTGAGGTTATGAGTGTTTAGATGCAAATCCAACCCGAATTGTGCATTTCAGAGAAGTTTGTGATGCTAATGCTTTTAAGATTGCCACCTCGTTGATTATGACGGGGATCGAGCTGCCCGGTCAGCTCGCGGGGGTCCCTAGGGGGCAGCGTCCCTTGGCAGGTCCGGGGCAGCGCCACGGCGGGGTCGAGGGGCAGCGCCCCCGAAGCAATATGCAAAAATGCATTCCAAGTTGCCTGTCCGCTCGAGCGGACATTACCCCGCTCGAGCGGAGAATCCTTGGTTCCAGCAGTTTTGGTGGCCTGTAAAAGTACTGAGATGTGTGATTTTGCGCTCGAGCGGGTTCTCTAGCGCTTGAGCGGACCTCTATTTTTTCACACGCATATTTTGCTGAAGACGCTCGAGCGGGATGTTGGGCACTCGAGTGGACCGTGCGAACACAGTTTTCCGAATTTCAATAAGGATTGGGTTTTCTTCCAAATCTAGGATTACTTTTGGTTTTCTATAAGTAGTTGGTTTTCTCCAAAAACTAGACTACTCCTGAATTCCTCTAGATCTTCTTTTTGGTTCTTAAGGTTGATATCTGGGGATATTTTGTTAGTTTTTTTTTTTATGTTTTATTGAGTATTCAACTCATGGTTTAAAGAGAGTACATCAAAGGTTTTGTTTGCTATACAAAAGAGAGAGTTGTTCTTCGGTGGATTCTGAAGAATTCGAGCCTGAAGCTTTGGTGGATTTCGGAGTGGCTCATCGTCAAGACAATTCCGAGGTGAAGACGGGGTTAGAAGAGACACATAGAGGTTGGTTCAATTCGGGCGTGGATTCGCTAGGTAATTGAGAGTATACCTGTGTAATTTCTTTAAATCTTCTTAGTGGATTGTTTTGTGGCTGTTGCCCGTGGTTTTTAAATCATAGTTGGAGGTGTCCAATTGTGGTTTTTCCACGTTAAAATCGTTGTGTTGATTTATCTTGATTGTTTG